CATCTATTAGTATTCTTCGGCCGGAAGTGTAAATCCTTGATTATTGAGAAATCGGTGTTGACAATGTCTTTTTGGCCATTAATAAAAGATGTTCTTCTCATCAATATACCCATAGTCTCTTAAGATCGTTTGAGAGATTGTCATCTGAGTTTTCGAAAAAAATCGGAATTTTTGCCGGGCATCTATAGATTTGTTACAGGAATCTTGAAACTATCCACTGATTGAGTGAAGCTATAATTCCAGAAGATATGGCTTGGAAAAGAAATCAACAATAGAAAACTAATATCCTTTCTGGTTAGAAGTCTTCAAGCATAAAGTTTCAAGAAATATTCTCCTGGAAGTACCCTTAAACGTTCTTGAACATCGACTACTTTATTGAAAATTAAACAGTTTGTCTGGCCACAGGTGGTGAGAAGTGGGAAACCATGAGGGGCTGAAAATAATACTTTTTTTTTTAATAAATAAAACTACTCAAGATTAATATTATTACTCTATACTATTTGCAGCTGGTTTTTGACTATTTAATTTTTACTTTTCTATTATAACTCAGGAATATTTAAAATACTTACAACTATAGATTTATAACTTATAGTAATCTTGTAACTACTTAAAAATATTAGATATATTCCTGGAATAAATAGTATAGGAATAAGTTTCTTACTAAATTGGAATAGGACTTTTATATAATCTTTTTACAAAAAAATATATATAATATTATAGGAGATAATTATCAAATCATCTTACACTAAATTAAATATCTCTAATACTTTATAACTTTTGGCAATTATTATAATCCTAACCAAATAATTGTTATATCATAATATCTTTTCTAAAGATCACAATTTCAAAATCTACTGGATTAATATATAAATCAACTTTTCATAAAAAACAATACTTTATCAAGTTATAATATCAGATATCATATTAATTTTATTTAATTATCTTTATTTAAAATTGAACTAGTATCTTGTAATTTATTTATTTTTTTAAAGTAGGTAAATATCATCACTTTATTAATCATAAAATTATTTAAAATTTATATATAAAAAAAGTGACAATATCTCATATATAACTTATAAAGCTAATAAATAAGTCTAATGCTAGCTTGCCTACAGAAATTATCTAAGTGACATGGAAAATAAATATTAAAACCAATGTATATCTAAGATAGTATCAATCAGTTATAAATACCTACTCAGGGTTATATGAAATAAAATTTAAAAAAATATAAAAGTGAAAAAAGAAAATATTAAACGAAAGAAAAATAACAAAAAAACTAATTATAGTACAAATGAAGTCTAATGTTGCTTTGGTGGTTCTACCCTCTTGAAGTATTATTGCACTTTTTGGAATAGCCAGGCTACAGCTTATAGTATATAATGGTATTGATGATACATCTTTTTGACAGTCATTTCTTGAGTCATTGTTGATAGTAGTGATAATATAGTTGTTTGTGTTTAAATGTTTAATAATAATAGGAAGAAATGTGAAAAAAAAACTAATTATTACACAATGGATGCCTTGAATTAGATATGCCATGCTGGTTGATCCATTCAACTGAAGTAGAATACTACTTTCGGGAATGGCCAGGCTACTATCCAAAGTAAATAATAGTATTGTTAACATATTACTTAGATTGTATATTGTTATTGTAATTGTTAATATTTTTGTTAGTATGTTGATTGATTTATTTTTTGATAGTGTGATCTTGTTTTGATTGATATTGCCAAAATAGAATTTGTTTACATTAATCAAATATAGTATTTTGGTTGTATAAAATGGTTTTGAATTTGATAGTATTTGATTAATTGAGTTTTGAATATTGATCAGTTAACAGAAATAAACTGATTATGGTTTTTTGATAAGAAATTTTTTGAGTGAAAATTTTTGATTTTTGATAGCACAATAGAATGTGTTGAGTGATAATAAAAAATATATATTGAATATATTGTTGGTCCTCCAAGTCAACAATATAGACAATTTTGATATAAAGTTTGATTTTTTAAATTAACAAGTAATTCTTCAAGCAGAAAATATAATTATTTAGAAAGGTTTGTATATTAAAAAGAAAAAAAAATGGGAAGAATCTCAAGAAAGATTTATAAAGAAGTAATTGCCATAGGTTTTTCCTTATACAATTCAAAAAAAAAGCAAGACTTCCAAACTTGTTTTCCTCTAATCAGAGATCTCGTTTCAATGTATCAATATATTTCTTTAATTTTCTTAAGGCTCTTGTAGTGAAGAAAGAAAAGATGTGATGGACTTTTGGATATTGAAAGGCAATAAAAATATTTGTTTCTCTAATTTTGGAGAAAAATTATTATAAAAGGAAATTTTTTAAAAAAAAGTTATGTATGGAAAAGAGTTTTTTTTTTAATTAATTAATTTTATAGTATCTTGTGATTTAATTATAAAGTAATAATCATTGTACTATAGACTTACAGATTGTAAATAAGTTTATTATATATGTGTAATAAATATTTTTTTGGGGGGTTTCCCCAGTAGGCAAACATTATTTTTTTATTTTGATTTGTATATAATAAGGTATATATTGTTGAAAGAAATAACATTTCTTTCATTATTTCAGGAAAGTTAAATGCTAGCTTGCCTACTTATCAATATCCAACTAATATCATAAAAAAACTCAAAATCAATATTAATGTACTAGATAAGGCTGAGTAGCGACTATGCCTATTATCCCAAAAAATTTTGTAAATTCTTTTGATTTTTTGGATGGAAAAAATTGAAAAGAAAAATAAAATTGACTATAACTAAAACTAAATCAAATATACTATATAATTTATATATTGAATGAAAGAACTCTTTGATGGGCTCATGGTTTTAACTCTCCAGCTCTCCGTGTGCTATATATAATAGAGTACATGTGATGTTGTTTGTTGTTATGATTATTGGTGATAAATTATTTGTTGTTGTTGTTGTGATCGTTGTTATAATACAAAACCGGTTTGAGCTTGTTTGGTTTTTGTTTTGATTATTAGACGAAATCTAATTAGATGATTGAAAAGTGCTAATTATCTGGAGGGTAAACTGATTTCAGTTTTTTGAGTGTGAAATTTTTGGAAAATGAAAGTGGCGCAGCAAATATTGCTACGAGAATATTGTGTATAAGGGTTGACTTGAAACAAATAGTAGACCCACTAACTCTGTTTGAGTATGTGTTTTGGAAAGTATTTGGTTTAGTGAGTATGATGGTAATGATGTGAATGATTTTTATAATAGAATAAAGGTAAGGAGGGATGCAAGAGAACTGAAGAAAAAGGAACTGCCATGGACTTTTCCTTATGTAACTGAAGAATAAGCAAGACTTCCAAACTTGAATAGACTTTAACCAGAGATTCCATTCTATTGCACCACTTGTCTTAAAGATTCTTGAGTTCCTGAGCTGGGGCTTACTTGGGATAAAGAGAATAAAACATTTTTTCTTGTTTAAAATTATTATAAAAGGAAAAATTTTAACAAAACGGATACAATCAGGAGAGAATATATGTGTAATAAATATTTGTTTATTAATATTATAAAACTATACAAAAAATATAATATAATTTATAATTCCATAATTTCCAATCTGATATTTTAATCAAATAAAAAAATGTATTTTCAAAATAATTGACATATTTTTAGTTAATCAATATACTGCATATAATATTTGTTCTTATATAAAAATAAATTATATATAGTTGTTTTATCAAATCATGGTTTAAATCTATTATGGTGATTGTTTTTTTATAGAAAGAATTTTTAATTAATTGGATCAGTTCCATAAAAAAGTATTTTTAGTAAGAGATGTTTCTTTATAATAGGTTCTTTTATAAAGGTCTAATTGTATATAACTATTTTTTATATATTTATAAATTCTTTTTAAAAGTTTTAAAAAGTCTTTTAATTAAATTTATTGTATTCAATAATTTTTTTTTTAAAAAAAAAAGCAAATGGTAACTGTTACTTGTTTTGTTGATTAAAAAATAATATTGTCAAAAAAAGTATATTGACTTTATTATTATAAAACAAAAAAAAACCTTTTAAAAATATTTATTTTTTTGATTGACAAAAAATTCAAAAAAAGAATTCTCAACAATTTTAATATATATTTATATATTTATATGTTTTTTTTTGTTTTTTTTTAAAAAAAAGTAATATAAAAAGCTAAGTAAAGTAAATAAAAAATTTTTAAATAGTATTTATTAAAATAAATTTTAAAGTTTTTTGATACTTTTTTTGCAACGTGCTATTATTATTATTATTATTTTCAATACATCATTTTTAGTTTTAATTTATAATATATTAGAAAGTAATCGATATTAATATTAATGTTTTACTTATTTTATTTTATTAATATTTAGTCATAATTTTTATTGCAAGGCGTATTGTATGTATATTGAAAATGTTGTAATATTTATTCTTTCTTTATAAATACGCTAATCAAAAGTAGAGACTATTTATGTTGGGAATGAAATTATAAAATAATTGAACACTTTTCTGTAACAAGTTATGGACGTAACTTTTTGTTATTCCTCATTCTTACACAATTAAGAAAGCAGAATAAATTAAAGATTGAAATAAAAAAACATATTCAACTTAATTCCTTACTTTCTCTCTGTATGGACTACTCGCATAATAATAATTTAATTTTAACTACAAAATAATTATCCTTCATAGGAATTTGATGCATGCTTTGGAACAAATATAAAATTGTCCGGCGCAGGTCCTAATAGCATTTCACTGTTGTGGAAAGTATCTTATTTCATTGGGATGTTGGCTAAATAAAAACAATGACTCTCAAAAGAAAAGGAAACATACCTGATTTTCACCCAATCATGACTATTAGGACTTGCCAACAATGTTTCTAACTCATCCCTTCCGCGAAAGGATGGGGGACGCTCATTTATGCGCTGGGGCAATACTTCAAGTAATCCCACAGGTATGTATCTATGCAGAAAGCTCATCCATTCGCAAAGGAATCTTCGAGTTTGATTGACACCCTAGTTAATAATGTGAATTTTCAAGTTCAGTATGGTAAATCACACCCCAGGAAGATTAATGATAATCTGAGAGCTCACAATCGAATCGGAACCCCAGTGTTCCATTCCATAATCACAAAATTTTTTCAAAATATCAAAACGTTCTTTGGATGAAATATCGTAATGACGTTTGGATTTAATTTCATCAAATATCCAAGGCTTAATCTGATGGTTGCAAACAAGAAAACGTAAGACGAGCAGCGAAATCAATCCATAGAAAGAAGCTGCAATACGCAACACTTACTAAAGCTCCACGTGCGATCATAATCCCATCAACTTGATCTTTTTCGAGGTGCTCGTAATAATCGGTGTATCCAAGCACATCTCCATTGCCTATGTAAACCATTAATTATTAAAATTTCTTCTTTTTTTCTAAGAATAAATAAATAATCAGGAGCAACTACCAAAGACAGGCATTTTCTTTACAGTATGCGATACTTCGGAAATATAATTCCAATCAGCAAGCTTTGTATATCTTTGCTGCCTGGAACGCCCATGCAACTATTATGTAAAAACGGAGAGCTATTAGGTGAAATCAAATTTTTATGAATATAATAATTAAATTTGAAAGTTAAGTACTAACCGTAGCCATTGCAATGCCCTTAAAATTCAGAACAAATTAATAAAATAGAGACTTCAAATCGAATTTAAATTATACCTACCCAACTTTCAAATTTTGGCATTAATTTGTGAGCAACAGGAATATTGTCCTGAATACCTGTACGCAGCTTCACCGTAACTGGAATGTCCATGACCTGGTTACGAATAAAAGCAACATTATAGATAGAAACCTGAACAAGAAAATGAAGGGAATAATTAACAATTACTTTTTGCATTCCTCTGACGATCTTCCCGATCCTCCCGTCGTGTTTTAAAAGCGCTGTCCCGCCGCCCTTATCAAGAGACGGTAAAATTATTAAATGCACAAGATCGACAACACACTCCTTCATTATAATAAAAAAACCTTTACCTTATTGAATACAAGATCAATTGGGCACCCGAGATTTATGTCAACAAAATCGATCTCAATCTCATTATTCAAAACCTCGGCACATTTCACTAAATGTTGAACTTTGCATCCGCATATTTGTACACCAAAAATATCCTCACTGACGTGCCGTTTTACCAACGCCCATTCACTCTGTTGACCTTGGAGTAAGTTCACTGCCATTGCCATTTCACCACAAGTAATGTCAGCTCCAAATTCTTTACAAATACGTCTGAAGGGGAGATTCCCGACTGTCGTAAGCGGTGCGAGATATAATTTGTTTTTGAAAGAAATCTTTGCGACGCAGAAATTAAATTAATAGCTATAAGTTTAATGTTTATTAAGAACGTGACGAATTACCTTTTTCTTTTCACAACCACGTAACGGTACATCTGGCGTATCAACAAATTCGTTGATATCCATAGTCTCGGAAGTTGTTCCAGCATCTGTTGTTGAAATAATATTAACCTTTCCTTTTCCCTCATGATTGCTGCTAGTAGTCCCTAATACAATTCCAGCATCATCAATGGTTTTTTCTTTTGGTTCCGGATGGTCATAATCCTTAATCTCCGCATCTGCTTCAGAATTCCTTTCATCATTTGAATATTGAGCCTGCAATCTCCTCAATTTATTGTTCTTTTCTTTTTCCAATTGTTTTGCAATCTCCTCACCAATTTCGTTAAGGTATACATCCGACTTTGGAAATTTATACTAAAATTTGTGAGTAATAAGTTAGAAATTATGGGTCACACGAAATTACCGACAATCAACTAACCTTGTTCTTTCGGAGTGGCTTTTGAAGTTCCACATTTATTGCATTTTTCTCTTCAAAAATTTTAGACGAGGCAAGCTAATGAATTGTGGGTATGACGAATTAAAAAATCTTCGCCGGCAAAGAAAGACATGGTAATAAAAAATTTACTTCTTCGTTTACTATCAACTTTCCATCATGAGACAAATGGGCATTTAAGAAGCGACATCTGTATCCAAATCGACATCTTTAGGGAACGATTCAAATAAAATTAGTATAATCTACATTCGGAAACATTAAATATAGTTAAAATGTAAATGAGAGTACCTTCCGTATTTCTCAAAATTAATACATCTACTCCCCAAATCGTTTTCTTTTGTTTTTAAGTATGTATCTAGATCGTGATAATATTTACACCTACAAATGATACGGGCAACTGTGTATAATTGCGACAATTCAGATGATCAAAGATTTAGTAGTAATAAAACATACGAATCCGAATCACAAACTTCGCCCAATGAAACTTTAAGACAGAGCTGTAGAATCGAAGAATCTTTATTAAACGAAGAACACAAAATCTCGAGAAATCATTTTCCATCGTTACATACGCGCTTGGGCTCAGAAAATGTTTTGACAGCCCTTTCCTTGTTCGATCCCCTTGTTCTTGTGGTGCGAATTTTCTTCTTTGGAGGTTCCTAAAACGAGTACGAGTTAAGTGTTTCAAACTCTTTCCTAGATTTTGCAAGATGAGATCGGTTTTTACCTCTGATTCTTGAAGCTCGTCGACATCATCAATAATTTCTTCCAGGGGATCCCCCTTTTCCTCTTTTTTAATAATATATCTATAACAGAAAATCATCACATTGTCAATCCGACATTCATGGATATTTTACACAAACGGACAAGATGAATCGGTTTGATTGAATTTTACTCTTTCTTCACAGGTGCAATTCCATGACGATTTGGGGGATCTTCGGAGGGATTCATTATGGGATCCTGAGGAAAAAATTATCTTTTAATTAATTGAGAGAATTGGCATCAGTTATCAAACCAAAAAATCGAATTTTATCAAAGAACGGTAATAACTGTGAATGTGATCCCTCCAAAAATCGAGTATTCTTATATTGGCATTTTACCCAATCATTTTTAACACCTCATTAATGAAATATCACGTGCCGATAAGACTCAATATCCTGTCGAAAAAACCAGGGTCATACTCTTTAAAATTTCTACTACAACAGCATAGTGGAAATAAAAAGGTAGTATTGTATGGTTATGCTCCAGTTTATTGATATTGCCATATAAAAAAAATGGCATTGCTTTTTGTGTACATTGACATTATTTTAAAACAATAATCGTGACTTCAATTATTTACATGTAGAGAAAATTTTTTTTTCGTTATAATCATAATTTGGAACGTTTATAAAAAAAAAAAATTTTTCCAAGTCAGATAAAATTACGAAGATTAATTAACCATGTTTTTTCCTAATCATTTAAAAATCTGTTGCATTTCCTCAAAGATTTCAAATTCTGCTTTCGAGGTACGCCTCTTTTCCAAGTTGATTATTCCAGATTCTCTTATTTGTGCCTGACATAATGACTTAAATTATCAGATATCATGTCTTATGATTGGAACAATCTGCTACCATATTTCTATTTCTTGCTGTGTGTGATAAGATTATGGTGTTCTTTGTTGCCAGGTTATATTCACCCTGATGAATTTTTTCAATCTCCGGAGATTATGGGAGGTCCGTACCTCGTTCCGAAAAGTTTAATCCAAAAAAAGTTCCCATGTTAATATTTAAAGTTATATATTATCCAATGTAGAGGATGTATTAGGTTTCGAAGTTTATAGACCTTGGGAATTTGAACAGAGCCCTCAATGCCGATCCATTGTGATTCCGTGTGTATTTAAAATTTGACATTATGACCTTCCCTATACATGACGAACACGAAAAATCTTTTACATAAACTAGAGCGCTGACGATCGGGTTGCCGTTCAAGATATTAAAAACTTTGAATGCTTGGGACCCTAGATTTGATTTCTCAGGTAAAATCTTGGGATTATTACATGATTATCTAACTCTCTTGTTAAATGAGGTGCAAAAACATTCCATATAGATGTCATAAGTTCGCGATCAATTTTTTTGACAGAAAGACTTTCATTCTTTTGTCTATCGTTTGTGATCGGTATGAAGGTTTAATTAAGAATACAACTTTGGATTTCCATGTCGAAAGGAACTTAATGAAAACTTTTCATTCAGATTACACCGCTTACACGATAGCGAACTCTTATTACCCGAGAAATACCTTTCGATCTTTGCTAGTCTTTGCATCATCATATGTTCTTCTTATCTTCCACACTCGATCTTTTTCGAACGCGGTTGAATCCATTATATTGGCACTGTGCATTGTTGTTTACGTGAAAGGATCAACTCCATCTGTACCACATAAGCGAAAGCAAGATGATCGATCATCTGTACCGGTTGGTTCTCGTCTTCACCAGGATAATCAAATCTCACTCGAGAATTCATTTAACTATTTTTTTCCCTATAGGAGAGATTCTGTTCAACCTATGCTTTTATTTTAGGATCGCTAGCAGCCTTAGGATGCTTCACCAGGATTACATTTATATTGTATGCATTTCCACTGGGCCTTGCATTCCTTCATCATGTGTTCATTGCAGAAAGGATTCAGCAGAAAAGCTGGTTAGTGATATTTTGGGAGCGATTTTTTACCATTAAGTATATAATTAATGATTGATGTTATTTTTAGGTTAGAGAAACTTACGGAACTTATACCTGCGTGTCTCGGTTTGGTGTTCACAACGGTAGTCTGTGTTTTGATAGATTCACTGTATTTTGGGACGCTGAGCATCACCCTTGGTAATGAATTGTTAACCAAGGAACACCTCCTCGCGCTATTGATTAATCCGATGAGATTTCTTGAAATTGGTTGGAAGGTACTCTTCTATTTATTTTCATACGCATCACGTACACCACTCAATTTATTTCTAATAAATACCTTCAGGGCGAATTGATATTCACCCCGCTAAACAATTTTATCTACAATATTGACACAAGAAACCTAACGGAACATGGTCTTCATCCTCGATATCTTCACATTGTAAATTTTGTGTTGCTCTTTGGTCCACTCGTTTTATTGACGATGAAAGACCTTAACGCAAGTTACCATTGTAAGAGGTTCATGGCAAAACGCAAATATAAAACAGGTAAGCGTGAGACTGTAAATTCTTTATTACACAAAGGTTCGAATTGTTGCATTTAAAAGGAAAGATTCCAATGGTCTAGATTTTTTGCCATCAAAAGTTTTATTTTTGATGACAAACTGAGTTCACAAGACCAATATCAAACCGAGTATCGTAATTCAGGATGTTGTATAGAGTCAAACGCAGGAGATCATGCGATTTGTTTTAGTCTTCATCCAACAAACGTCGATTTGGATCAACTGTAATAATTTTTCTAACAAAATCATTAATTTCAAATAGTAATTATTTACAGTGGTCTCTGTGGATTCTTATTATTATCGATGATCCCACATCAAGAACCAAGATTCTTGTTGCCATTATTAATCCCAGTTATCATTGTACCCTCTGACAAATTACAAAAGTTACCCAAACCATTCTGGGTAAGTTATGAGTGAGTGATCGATGTTTTATTATGGGATAATGGTAATTTGGCTGAACTTTTTTTCATAATTTAAAAGGTTGCATGGGCAATATTCAATTTAATTTTTGTTATGATTTATGGGCTGCTGCATCAGGCAGGGATAATACCGACAATTCAAAAATTACAATTTCAAGCAATTGGCTTTAGAAATTGTGAAGAATTTGATGGATGCGTTCAATGTGATGTAGGAAGGAGATTTATTAGGCCAGGTATATCGTATTTCTGAGGATGTGAGAAAATATCGAGTTTTTCTTTACCAGGAAGATTTATTTTTTTTTTAATGAAAAATTTAGTTCGAAATTCTTCCGAAACTTTTGTGACAAACATTATTTTCTACAAAACTTATATGCCCCCACGTCATTTATTTGGATACCCAAAGACTTGGAGATGTAACTATTTTTATGATTTGAATTGACCAAGGAGAATGTGTTGTTTTGTTGGTTTTTTTTTAAAAGTGCTTCATCAATTACTTTGTGATTTATTAAACAGCAACAAATATTCAACTTAACATCTATGACCTCGCGGGCGGGTCGATTCAAAGTCTTGAAAAGTTGATCTCAAAGCAGGTTGCACCGAAACGAAATTCAGTTGAAGCATATAAAACTAGGTATATTACTTTTCAGCAGCGTCTCTCGGGCAATGTTACGTTGAGGCAATATGAAAGGTGATTGTTACCTAATCTTCATATAACATGAATGTTTTGAACTTTACGAATGCGTTATTATAAATAACAATGATATATTTGTTCTCTTTTTGCTGATATATAATAGAACTCTACTTGTGACACCATCGACAACAGATTTATCCTTACTTTTCAGTGACCGTTCCAAGTCTTCTTGGGAACAAAATAACCAGAATGACTCTGGAGATAACAATTTTGAATTAATATTAACGGATCAGCATTGGCCTCATTTAAACCTAGACCAACTTGACAATGTTTTTACTAATGGGATGTTTTTAAATGTTTATGCTCTTGTTAGAGAATAAAATAAATTTTCAGGTTTCTTGAAGTATATTTCCTTAAGAACATCGAGGACTTTATTTTTGCATATGCCGAAACATGTTTACCAACCGAAAATTATCAGAAATAAAGCACATTTGATATTCTATGCCCACATTTTCTCGAATTTTTCGTGGAATCGCTTCCGAACTGACTCGAATTTATCCAAAACCAACTTTTCATCATCCATTAGTCTCATTCTCAGCGATGTAATGATCGTGTCGAGAATGATTTCGAAATCTCTGAGGAGCTGTTATTTATAACAAACAATTATTAATAAAGGAAAATAAATCAAAAAAGCCAAGAACTACAATAAAATACAAGAATGATAATTACCTGCCAAACATCTCCGGGTTTAATGCCATTCGCTAACGTAAGAACCTTTTCGTCTCCGTGAATGTAGAACTAATCATAAAATGATAAATGAAGTAAATGTATATGAATAAATATATGTATAATTTTTTTTAAAAAAATTTTTTTTAAAACTTACATCGAGTATATAGCTATTAAGGAATCTTTCATCTGTACGAATATAGGGAATACTATTAAGATCAAGATGAATTTTACTATGTATGTGATTAATTAAATCATGGATGGTGTAGAATTGATCTCCTAACGAACTACACATGGAAATAAACGGCGAACGTGCATAAAAGGGAACCGATTGGGTTTCTAATTTTGAAATCAAAGTGTTCTCAGTGCCTCTAGATTGGGTCAGAAATTGGAGTTTAGATAAGGGTAAAATGTTGTCGGATCCTATCTTTGAATCATTTTTTTTTGCAAAAGAGACTACGTATTCCGTATAAATTTTCAATATTCGATCATTATGTTGGTCTAAAACATTTTTAACTTTTTCTGGTAATAGTGGTAGATATATTTTTGACGGATATTCAGTAAGGATATCCTTATACCAATCCTTGTTAATACTACGCAATTTTATTCTATTGAAAATATAGGCAAGAATTAAGACCAAGGTTTGTTCGAGTTGCTCAGCGTCTTCAATTTCCGAACACAGTTCATGGAAAGCTCCTTGTTTAAACAATGCAGCCATTGCGAAATTGCTCGGTTCGACCGGAGAAAGGTGAGCAACCATGCCGGAAAGGTTAATAGGATTACATGAGTTGTCTGATTAAATAGAAACATATGATCATTTCATTCACATGAACTTCCGAAATAAATAGAATTACAGAATTTTTACCTATTAGTTTCTCACGCATAAGATATTCAATAGAAAATCTCAAATGATATCTCGCTTGTCTGGCTAAACTCTCTTTCCCAAGACAAAAGAAGGAATCAACAAATAAGCCTGAAGCGGCCTTTTCAGAAGACTCTTTGTCTTCGGATTGTTTAAGAAGTGTCAAACTGCGCAGAACGAGTGTTGTGGTCAGAGGAAAATTCCCACTAAGCCTCGCTAAACCTATTTGAGCAAAAAGAACACATTAACACAAAAATAAATGTATTTTTCCTAAAAAAATATATTACCAGAAGTCAAAAGTCCTTTTATTTTTGTTTGAGTGATTCCGAAAAATATGACGTTGCCAAGAGGGTCAAAACCTCTTCTTCCGCTTCTTCCCGCCATCTGCCGGAATTGGAGGGCTATTTAATGTGACGTAATTAATTCGAATAAATTGTTAAATACCTTCAAAAATTTTAATTTATATTAATTGGCGAGAACGTAGAACATCAATCTTACCAGTCAAAGATATCGAATCTCCTACAAATACAACAGACCTTGCGGGCATGTTGATACCAAGAGCGAGAGTTCCCGTTGCAAACACTACTCTAAGATGGCGCATTCTGAATAGAATTTCAACTGCCTGTTCAGAGAATAATTGAATAATGCATCAGCAAATATAAAGCAGATGATGTCGAAATTGAATGCAAGTTATCCTCACTTGAATATATTTTTTAGGAAGACCCGCGTGATGACAACCGATACCTGTGTCGTTGGATTGATGCTCGCATTAGACTTTGTAAAGAACCTTAATGTTAAAATCGAAAAAGGTTAATAATACCTCTGTCTAAGGCATCCACCAGGCCGGCTAAGTCTCCGGTCATTTTATATCGAAGGGAGCCCTTTAATTCTTCGTATTCTTTTATAGACATACGATATTTGGGGCTTACAAAAGTGAAATCTGGATCATGGGCCTCCCAATCAAATACGGGGGGAGGAGGTTCATCTACTTCCTCAAGATCGTCATCATCATCGGCTTTACTTTTTTTCTTGACATCACGTGTGCGTTTTTTGAACTTATCTTGCATTTCCTTTTGAGCCATGGCATTTTTCTTTTTCGTTTGATATTCCTCATCATTATCACGCTTAAGCTGCTCACCTTCTCTTAGTAATTTTTCCAGGTGCAGAGCAAGTTTGTTACACCCCGTACGATCCATATGAAACATAATTGCCGGCAATTTATCTTGAGCAGATAATCTGTAAAGTTATCAATCCAACATATATTGAGAAGCCAGTTATATATATATATATAAGTGAAAAGCTAGCAAGGGACAAAACTTACTCAGCGAGTAGATTAACAATCGAGTGCTTCAAGAAATCATCATGATATATATCCACATCTTCTACTTTTGCTTTATTCTAAAAAATAATGATATTTTGACATATTAAATAACTAGTCATATTCGAAATTATATTGCTTAAACGAGAAATTAATTGATTACCTCCAATTCTTCAAAATGGTTCTTGAAGTTGTCGAGTCTTGAAATAACCTCTCTAGCACTAGCTGATTTAGATGAATCCCTCGTCCAGGTTACAAACAACTTCTTCAACTCATCTTCATAACGGTCTGCGTCATCTTTCACAATATATCCTATGTCTTCAAAATATTGATCGGGATCTAAATGCTGAATGTCTGGATCCTCATTCGAGACCCTGTTCATCATGTCCCAGAGTTCAACACATTGTCCTGGCACTAACTTTATATCTGGCGGGATTCCATTCTCTGCAACAAGAACCGGTGATAGCGCCGAGAATGGATGAATAGGAACTAAAGAGTCCTCGTACTCTTTTGGATTGAGAGTGTTGAATTCTCTCAACGGGTATTTGGGAATGTATGTAAATTGCATCAAATCAGAATAACGTTTTGTGGTTTTAATGAGTCTTGTTTCGTAGCCTCTTTTCTTTTGTGCTTTTTTAATCCAGTTCGTAAATTCCTCTGGATTACCGACCGTTGCAGATAACGCAAGAATTGGTACTTGCGATCTTCAATTTTGAAGAATATGTATGTTAAAATTGGCATAACTTTGGAATGTTATCTAAACACAGCATTCTAAACCTACAATAATATCAAATGCTCCCAGATCACACCGGTCCTGTCTTCACCTATACAGTGAATCTCGTCAAATATAATACGACTATTAATAAAATAATATGTCACCTATCTACCAATTACTTGTGAATCAGAGATAATAATAATAAATAATCTTACCGAATCTTAGACACCCACTTAACGGAATTGGGGTCTAGCAGAAGAATTTCTAGCATCTCGGGCACTTTGAATCATAAATTTGATTAACATCAGGCTGATTAGAAAAAAAAAAGAACCACTCAAAATTACCTGTTATAAGTATTTGACATATGTCGTGATTCTCCCGGTATTCTCTTAAATTTTGCGAATTCTGTATTAGCGGCTAGCAGCAACCAATAAGTTCTAATTAAAACTCATCCGCAATTTACCTGGTAAAAATTCCCCAAGAAGACTTTCCACCCTTCCCATAATTCTTTTTGAATCGACCGTAAACCTCAGCCGACACTTGGTTCACGAGTGCCTAAAGGATTAAGGAATTCTTAAGTACAGGATCAAAAATAGGTAGCAAATATTATACGAATTTCACCTTAGTAGGAGCAACATAAATCAAAATTCCTATTAAAACAGCAAACCAGAAATCATTTATCAATAAAAGAAGTAATGATAATTTATAATTTATCGCAATTCGAGAAAGAGAAGAAAATTTCATTTTTTTCAAGTACCTTCGTCATCCTCGCGTAAAACTTTTTCCATGGCATAAAAACTAATGAAAATTAAAAATCAAATTAAGGATCAAAATATCCAAATAGACTAAGATAACTCCAAAATCAAATACCTAATAAATGTTTTCCCGCTGGAAGTAGGACAACAAATTAATGCACTTTCGTTTCTGTCAATTATATTCAACACCTCGTGCTGCCATTTATCTAAAGAGTCAAGTCCATAAATAACGTTTCCATGAATCAGTATATGTTACAATAATAGGTACTCTAATGCTAACCTGGTTTAAATTGTGGGACTCTAGGGTCATCAACGCTATTTGTATTTTTATCCATTAAGTGACCGGCATGTAGCTACATGAGTAGCAATGGAATATAAGCATTGTAAAGTAAATTATTAAAGAAGCAGCATCTTACCATCTGGAATCTGGCATCAGATAAATCATCATCCAATTTCAGGTTAATTGATGATCTCGGCATTTCAAATTTCAAAGGGGGAAATGGAGAACTATTCGATGAAGTAGACTCTTTTTTTTTTGATGAACCTCCCTTCCCTTTCTTTTTTTGCTTCTCTTTATTTCCCGTTGAAGTTGATAATTCCTTATTTTCGACCATTTTTATCAGCCTGTCCCTCGAATCATTCATGCCTAGTCTTTGTAACACATCCAACAAAACATCATATCTTTCTCTATCGAGGTACTCTTTATAGTTGAATGCAATATAAAACACCTGACGATATAATTCTACAGGTGTGTTGTACCAATCTTTAATTCTCTTTTTAGAAATCTTTCTTAATCTGCAATAACTACTCCAAGATTCTAACAATATCTGCAACCTAAATTTTACAATCAAGTTACATTTCAAAGAGATGATTAATGTCAAGAAATCATATAGATTTAGGTGTTAAACTTACTTATAAAACTGTGCACGGACTCTGGTTATTGGATGCTTTAGTTTATCTTCGTTGACAAACTTGATTTTAAACTGTTCTAATCTGGAATCTACATCGAATTTGGAGATTTCTTCGATGGCGTTGTCAAGAAATCTTTCTGAATCTTCCAGGGTTTTTTTCAGTTTGTCCTCTTTTATTTGCTCTAGTAATTTTGTCGAACTTTTTTTTTGTTTTCCCACACTTTTTGTTTCCGCCTGTTTTTTTTCTGTTGAAATAGCTTGAGTGTAATATCCTTGTGTGCCATTCAATGACTTCGCATATCTAAGTTAAAGTAGCGTGAGAATTTGGTTTATTCGCACGATCACAATCGTAATATAAATTATATTTTACCTTTCCATAAATCTAACGTATTTTTGATACTCTCTACGCCCTTGTATCTCGTTCGATTCTGACGGAAGCCAAGCTGTAATATCTTCTAACGGGATACTTCCCGATTGGCCAAAAACTCCTGTGTCAACCTCAATCTCATCATCACTGGCATGTTCCAAATCCATATCACCAAGGTAATTGGAAAAGAAATCGTAATTGAAAGGAAGAAGAGACAAATTTACATCATACAACTCATAAGTAATCGGTTCGAGTTTAGGAAGCTTTTTTGAATATTTAGATATATTATCAACAATCTCAGAAAGCTTCTCATTACTAAGACCTTCCAATAGATGCCACGCAGCATCAAAACCTTGTTTAAAAGCTTCTGGAAGTTTATCGTAGTTCAAATCACCAGATCTTTGAAAGCTCACTAAGGAGGCAAAAAGCCGTGCGTCTAAAAGATCGGCCAAGTTATTTTTCAGATCCTCGAAATTTTTTAATGCCTTATTAGGAATACCGCTGGTCAGTGTATAATCACAATAATCGAAAAAATCGTCCAAAAATTTAGTTGCCAAATTTTCAGTTTCTTCTGATAATTGTGGCAAAGTCCTGGATTTCAGGGCAATATCATCAAGAAGATAAACATGGAGCAGAAATAATCTCGCTAGAAGCCAATATTCCGGAGATGATTTGTTTCTCAATATACCAACTAAAGAAAGAATGACAAGAACAACCCGTTTTCCTCCATTAATCCACATTGTTTGATTTTGTGAATTTATTAGACTTTTTTCATCATCTGAAAGTGTAAAATCGACAACATTTTGTTTCTGCGATTTATCTTCCTCTAATCTATTCTTGCACGTTGAAATTATTCCTGTTTTTGCCGCCTGAGTTTCAAGGTTCACATTACCATCTATTTATTAATGTTTATTTTACGGTTTGATTAATATTTGGATTTCATCAAATTGATTATTGCGAAAAAATATAGAGAATATGGACCGTCAATAATTACATACCTCGATTGAAAACAAAAGCTTTAGCGCGAGAATCTCTGAATTCCATTCCTGGGATTAGTGCTACAGATAAATCGTTGTGTAGGGTATGATAAATTAATCCCCTCCATGCAATCGAAGCATTAGATTTTTCAATATTGATAGAATCAATTTCCGGATTTTCGGTGGTACCATCACCCAACCTGATTTTGAAATTGGCCTGAGACACAAATCATGATAAATTTTGATATCGCAATAAAAATGTTCACTTACAAGACGAAAAGAGGTTGTCTTTCCTTAATATATGTGGCAAAGTCAATGCCCCACCAGTCGTCGAATTCGTATATTGAGATCCCCGTCACGTCTTGATATGATTTCAAGTGAGACAATACTATTTCTCGAGCAACTCGAAATTTTGGATCATTCCAAATTGCCTTATGCGTATCAAAAAAAACAATGTGAAATTTACATTCACGCTGTTTGAGTTTATCGATAAATGTTTCAACCAAAAACGTTAATGCAAGAAACTGTCCCCCTCCAAAAGCGGCATTAAAATCAAGAAGGTGAGTCTCGGGGTTAAAAAGAAAATTATAAAGCAAACTGTCGCCTTCAAGCACAAATAGTCCACCCCCTGGTTATTTATGTGATCAAATATAAATATTCTACTGGATCAATTATCAAACAAAATTTACTAGAAAAATATTCTACACACCGCCAAAATCTCCCGCTAAATCAACATATTCGACACGTGTCTTGCTATACCAAGAATTCAAATACTGCAAGAGATCTGAAGCAGAAAGGCTTTCCTCCATGTTCTTTACTTTTTTTGACAATAAAAGAAAAACTTATTATTCTGCACAAATTCTGCTGTAAAACAAAAAAAAACGGTCAAATTCATACCGAAACTTGTAAGTGACTTAAACGTCTTTGTTATCAGATTAAGGAATGATTTTTTTCACGTGAAAATACAGGTTTTTCCGTATTTTTTTTTTTTCCGAAGCTAATAATTTATTATTTTCATTTAACATGCTTACGTACAGTATACCGCATTTTTTTTTAGTAACCAATATAAAAATTCAAAATTGCTTTAAAAAATTGAGAAATTGGTAAATCAAATTTATTAGTTTAAATATTGGATTTAAATAATTGTTTATTAAATAATAAAAAAAATAAAGAATATTTTTATTTTTATTTTATATTATACAATACATATATCTTAAAAGTTTAATTTCTTATATCTATTATTTTCATTAAATAACAATTAAAACAATAAAAATCTTATTATATATTATTATTATTTTGTATTTTAAGTAAGTAAATATTATTTATTGATTTTAAGATATATATTTTAAGAAAAAAATAATATTTTTTATGTTAACTTACTTATAATAATTATTTAATCTATATTAAACAATTATAAAAACCAATTTAAAATTAAGAAAAATAAAAAAAAATAAGATTTGAATTATATACAAAATACATAATTAAATTGTTTTGAATAAATGTTTTAAAAATATAAATTATGATATAAATTATAAAATTGTTTTAAAAAAAATATTAAAAAGTTTTTTGAATTTAAAAAAAATATTTAATCAAGATTTTAATATTATTATTTATATTATAAATAAATATATTTAATTAAATAAATTAAATAAATTTAATATTAACTAAATTATA